GAGATTCCTTTTCTCAAGACCATGGTTTTCAACCTATTTTTTAAAAAATACCTTGAGCAAAAAAAATGCAAAAAGAATCTCCACCTTTCTGTTCTAAGTTCATTTTTATCCATTCTTGTCCCAGACTGTGGAATCAACACCTCCATGTGCTCTGTGTGGGAAAGAAAACCCATCAACTCTTTTCAATATGCTGGTTGCTGGAGGGTTGCTCTGCCCCTGTAAAATACTGCATGGAATTCTAGCTTTTTCCTACTTTCTGCATAGCATGCTCCAAGATTACATTGTTGTTTCTATGTGAATATGAACAGTTATAATTAACCAAAATGAATCCCTGTACTTTCTCTTGTTTAATAAAAATTAAAAGAGGGCACTGAAGGTCAGCAAAGGATGGAACTGAGATGTCTGCATGGGTTAAACAGATGTTTTGTGACAACATGGCTTCTCCTTCAGCATGTTTAATTGTGATGTTTAACAGCTATCCTTTCAGTTTAAGATGACACTTTTCAAATAAAATTCTCTCATAATGATGACTTGAGCCCCTGTTCCTCAATGGGAGACTCAGCAGAACTCACAGGGATTTATTTGGAACTGACATTCTCCATTGTAATTTTTTTCTTTTCACTGGAAAGGAAAGATGCTCAGCTTTAAACATTAAAGTGCACAGGTGGGCTGGTGGGATGGCTCAGAGGTTAAGAACAATCCTGTTTCATGTTGGTGTGGTGGCCTATGACTTTAATCCCAGAATTCAGGAGTCAGAGGCAGGTCTGCCTGGTATACATAGTGAGTTCCAGAGTAGCCAGGGCTATTTCAAAACACCACGCCCTTCATCAGGCCCATTTAATATCCACTATGCCTTTTTAGTTTCTGAATCACAATCAAATCTGTTTAATGTCACTGAATAATGTAATAAGGAAGTGCTTCTGTTCAATAACCTCAGACCAAACCTCAAACTTCTTACTTTATTCTTTTAAAAAATATTTATATTCATTTTTTTTTTGTGAACACACTCCGCTTTATTTATTTTTTTTTTTTGTGATATATATTTTTTATTTTACAATACCATTCAGTTCTACATATCAGCCATGGGTTCCCCTATTCTCCCCCCTCCCACGCCCTCCCCTTACCCCCAGCCCACCCTCCATTCCCATCTCCTCCA